CTGCAGTTTCACCTTTAGCTAGGCGAGGTGGACCCGATAAAGGCAAAGGAATAGCTTTTGCTTTTTAAACCCGGCCTACTGAGTCATCACCGTAAGGTACTTTCAGAGAAGGACAAGAAGGAGCATTTGCCATGGGTCTGCAAGATATGCCTGCTTCTAATGGTGTGGTGACAAGTACTCTTTTAATTTGTGGTTTTGTAGCATTGGTATTATTTGATCTTGGAGCTGCCCATTCTTTTGTTTCCTCTAATTTTGTGTCAAAATTGAATAAATCTTGTGAAATAATGGTAGACCCATTGGTAGGGACCACTCCCTTTGAAGAGATTTGTATAGCAGAAGTTGTTTATAAGTTTTATGTAGTTCAAATTAACCATCAGGAGACATTAGAGGATTTGGTATTACTAATGGCATTGGGATTTGATGCAATGTTGGGAATGGATTGGTTGTATGATTGTTATGCCAATGTTGATTGCCACTACAAATATGTAGAATTTAAGTTTCCCGGAGAAGTTTCGTTTATCATCTATGAACATTGAAACCCTTGTAATAAGGGAATATTAGCAAGAGTTACAAAAGTGGAAACAGAACAAAATTACTTGGCGTGTGTAGTAGTCAAGGAGGATATGTTAATGGAGGAAGAGGTTCCAGATATTAAAAGGGTGCCAATAGTTAATGAATTTGAAGATGTGTTCTTGAAGGAATTGCTAGGGTTGCCCCTAGAAAGGGAAATTAAGTTTTGCATTAATTTGATTCCTGGCACGGAACCGATATCTGAAGTTCCTTACCAGATGGCACCAACAAAGATGCGAGTGCTACAAGAACAATTGCAAGCGTTAGGGGAAAAGGGGTTTATTTGTCCAAGTATTTTACCTTGGGGAGCTCCAATATTATTTGTAAAGAAAAAGAATGGAAGTTTGAGGTTATGCTTGGATCATCGAAAGTTGAATAGTGTGACTATTAAGAATAAATACCCACTTTCTAAGATCGATGATTTATTCGATCAATTGTAAGGATCGTGATGTTTTTCAAAAATTGATTTACACTCCAAGTCTCATCAATTAAGAATTCGAGAAGAGGATATACCAAAGACCGCATTCTGTACAAGGTACGAGCATTTTGAGTTTTTGGTAATGTTTTTTGATCTAACTAATGCTCCCGTCGCTTTTATGGATTTACTGAATAGAGTGTTTCGGGCCTATTTGGATAGATTTATGGTGGTGTTTATCAATGAACTCCTAATGTATTCTCGGAGTCTTGAAGAACATGCGCAACATTTACGGATGGTGTTGTAAACACTTCGAGAACATGAACTATATGCAAAGTTCTCTAAGTGCACTTTTTGGTTAAAGAATGTCAGGTTTCTTGGACATGTGATATCAAAGGAAGGGATTAGTGTGGATCTGCAAAAGGTTACATCGATATCTAAACTTGGGTAAGGCCAAGTATGGTTACCGAGGTTCGAAGTTTTCTCGACTTGGCTAGGTATAATCATCAATTTGTGTAGGATTTCTCAAAAATCACAACGCCATTGACGAAGTTGACATGAAAAGGAGCTAAGTTTGAATGGACTGATGAATGTGAAGATAGTTTCTTAAGACTAAAAGAGAGTTTGATTACAGCACCAGTCTTAAGTTTACCAATTGGTCCAGGAAGATATGTTGTGTATTATGATGCATAGAGAGTTGGATTAGGATGTGTGTTGATGCAAAATGATAGGGCTATCACGTACGCCTCAAGGCAGCTTAAAAGGCATGAGCAATACTATCTTACCCATGACTTGGAGATGGCAGTGATACTATTTGCATTAAAAATTTGACGTCATTACCTATACGGTGAAAGCTTTGAAATATATACAGATCATAAGAGTTTAAAGTATATATTTCAACAATGGGATCTTAATTTAAGGCAACACCAACGGATGGAATTACTTAAAGACTATGATTATACCATCCAATATCACCTTGGTAAGGCGAACGTGGTAGCTGATGCTTTCAGTCAGAAGTCTATGGAAAGTTTCTCACATTTGACAGCCGAACGATGAAGCATAGTGCATGGATGGCAAAGCCTAGGCAATATATGGGTCAAGATTGATATTGGTGGGCCTAGTGCCCTTATTGCTCATTTTCAAGTATAACCAATGATCTTGGACGAAATTCACAATGCTCAGGATCAAGATGACTTTGTAAAGAGAATCTTGGGATCCGAAGAGTGAGGACAGAATTTGTATATAGAGATGATGGATTGTTGAAGTATGAATCTTGGACATATGTGTCGGATTGAGATAACTTGAGAGAAGAAATTTTAGAGAAAGCTCACATTACCGCCTACACGGTACATCCAAGAGCCACCAAGATGTATCAGGACTTGAAAATGGTTTATTGGTGGTCAGGCATGAAGAAAGATGTAGCCAAATATGTAGCCAAGTGCCTAACTTGTCAATAAGTTAAGGTTGAACATGGGAAACCCCGAGGTTTGCTACAACCCTTGCCGATTCTTAAATGGAAATGGGAATATCTGGTTATGGACTTCATGACTGGATTACCTTGTGTTAAAGGTGGGTATGATTCGATTTGGGTAATAGTAGATCGATTGACTAAATCTACTCACTTCATTCCAGTAAAGACAAGCTATGGGTCAACTAAATATGCCAAAGTTTATATTGATTGTATTGTAAGATTGCATGGAGTTCCTATGACCATAGTGTCTGATCGAAGGCTATGGTTTACTAATAAGTTTTGGACGAGTTTACATGAAGCTTTAGGCACACGTTTGGACTTCAGTACTGCATATCATCATCAAACAGATGGTCAGTCCAAGTGGGTGATACAAACACTTGAGGACATGTTAAGGTCAATAGTATTGGATTTGGGGACCACATGGAATCAACAGTTTTCTTTGGCAAAATTCACATATAACAATAGCTATCAAGCTAGTGTTAGAATGGCTCCTTTTGAAGCATTATACGGACAGAAGTGCAAATCACCTATTAGATGGTTTGAAGTGGAAAAAAGGAAATGGTTAGGTCCCAATTTGGTGCAACAAGCAACTGATGTGGTGAGTTTGGTAAGGGAACATCTAAGAGCAGCACAAAATAGACAAAAGTCTTATGCAAATAATAAGCATTGTCCTTTGGAGTTCTAGGTGGGAGATTTTGTGTTCCTGAAGGTATCCCCACTAAAACGAAGTAAAAGATTTGGGAAGAAAGGGAAGTTGAGCTCAAGATATATTGGACCTTTCGAAATCTTGGAACGAATTGGGTTAATAGCATACCGACTAGCTCTACCAATGGAACTAGCTCATGTGAATCCCACTTTTCATGTGTCTATGCTGAGGAAATATGTTAAGGATTCGACAAATATCATACATTATGATTTGATTCCGTTGGATGAAGGATTGAATTTCAAAGAGCAACCAGTAGCAATATTGGATCGACAAGTGAAACAATTATGCTCTAAAGAAATTGCCTCAGTAAAAGTCTTATGGCAAAACTGGTTAGTGTAGGAGGCAACTTGGGAACTTGAAGAGGAAATGTGAAAAGAATATCCACATATTTTTCAAGATTAAGGTACGTTCTACCAACCCACTTTATTTAAATTTGAAGACGAATTTGTTTTAAGTGGGAGAGACTGTAACACTCCGTAATCTCAAATAGGAGTCAATAAGACCCAATCGATAAGATAAAGGATCAATTGATGAAAATCTAAGTACCAAAGAGCGGTAAGGGGTGAAAGAAATATTTTGAAATAAAATATTTCATACGTGATAAGATAATAATTAAATAATAATATTATTATCGGGGATGAATTAGTAGATTAAAAGATGATTTGGAAGTGAACCGGGGTAAAATGAGACATTTTGAGACCTGATGAGACAAGTGAAGAATTTTGAAATAAAATAATATTAAAATAATAATATTTTAATTATTGTTGAGATTAGTCATGGAGGAGGATTATACGACTGATCTATGTGGGGCAGAAGTAAGAAAGAATTTTGAAGAAAAATAACGTTAGTGGGGTCCGCATGCCTTTATTAAATAAAGCACGAGTGGGTAAGTATATATTTAAATATTATGGTGATACCTTGATGGGGTGCAAATCTTATATTATATTTGTACATATGTAAAGAAAGGAAAATAGAAGGAAATTTGAATTTAAGAAGTGTTGGAAGGGCCAAATTATAAGGCATGAAAAATTGAAGGGTCACATGATAAATAAAGAAAAGTTTGAGGACTTACGTGCAATTTTTTATATTTGAAGTTAAATGGGAATTTATTAACCAAAGAAATTTAGATTAAGTGGAATATGAGATGTACATGTGAAACTCACTATTACATGCAAATTATTATATGCAAAAAAGGAGAAGTTAGTGGGGAACATGTGGGATCCCCACCATGTGAAGTAAAAGAGAGAATAAGATTAAAATTTATTGCATGTA